TAAACGTTCAAAAATTAAATGTCAGCAAGTTGTAGTTGAGTCTGGCATGCCAACTCCGCACATTTAATTGGAGCTACACAGTTCATAAAGAAGCGATCATAGTTATAGGCCCTTATGAAGTTTTCACTCTTCAGCAGTTCTTTGTAATGGCGAGATATAGCTATTGTACATTGTACGAGGGTTGTTTTGTAAATGACATAGTATTTTCATGAAGAATTTATTTTTTAGACTATATTTTCTATATTTAACTGTTTTTAATTTGAGAAGAGTGCCAAGCCACGACAGAGAAATGAAAAATACTCCATTTCAAATACTTACCGGGGTCTTGTTTGAGTGTATGATTTGAGCGTGAGAAAAGAGAGATCCTTTTTATTTAAAAGACTTTCATCTTTCGTTCTAAAAACGGGACAGAGCAAACCGGGTGAGAGCAAACCGATCTTTGGACGGAAAGATGGAAGCCTTTTAAATAAAAAAACATATTTCCTTTCTCGCCCTGTGTATCATAATCCAACATCATATCATCATTATTATATGATAAAAATTTCAGGTTTACAATATCAAATCGCCTCGTTTGCTTGGGTTTTTTAATTTTAAAAATTTATTTGTGATATTTTGTATACATTTTTTTATACATCTTTTGTCATCCTGTATAGTATACAGTATCCGTCTGTATTCTTGACATATACGAGTGCAAATGCAATATACTTCATTAATTTCAATGTCATATGCTTTATTAATAAACCTGCGCTTAATAATCATTATCTGTTATCTATACTTACATGGATTTTTTGCATTAAATAATTGTATTTTACTATCTACAAGCATATAGACAGGCTTAATGGGTTTTATTTGTAAAGGTGTGTCCAACTGAAGGTTCGTCGCCTTCAAGTTATATTAATTATGAGCGAAGTAATATGATTGTCAATGACTAAGAACACGAGCACATTGTTTACAGTACCTCGTCTTTATAAAGATTCATCTTTTTGTTCTAGTATTGTTCTTGATATACAATATAAAGAGTTATCTGATATGAAGAAAACTATCTAATAAAGATACATATCGTCACATAAAATGCAAAACGACGTATCATCGAAAATCGCTGGCATTATATATAATAACCAATATATAACCATTTTATAACCAAAACTTATACATTTGTACATTTTTTTCTAATTATGTTATACTTGTAATCATTGATCGAGGTCCACGGAAACCAATAGAGTTGAAATGAAGATTTCATATTAAAACGTATTAAGCATTTTTAAGATTTTTCTCAGAATTTATTATATCTTATTATTCTACAAGGTGCTTTCAAAGTAAATTTTTTGACAAAATCAATTTATTTTGTTCAAAATAGTCTCCTTCTGCTGCAACACAGCTTTTTGCACGGTCCAAAAGCATGTCGAACGAGTGTTTTAGCTCGTTGCCGGTGCAAGCCTTTTGAATGGCCTCTACGTCTGCATAACGCTTTCCTTTCATGGGCAAATGCATTTTTCCGAAAAGGAAGAAGTCACACGGTGATATCAGGTAAATACGGGGAGTGGTTAATGGTTAAAATGTGATCTTTGATCAAATAAACCTCTTTAATCATTTCCTTCGAATGTTGGATTCTGAGCAAATTTTTTTTTTTCGTCAGTCAATTTGTGTAGAACAAACCGTGCACACACCTTTCGTAAGCTCAAATGTTCGGTCAAAATGCTTTTTCAATTCCATTTCCATAAATTTCAATTATGATTTCGGCTGATTGATGAATTCACGCACAGTTTCGATGGAATTTCCGGTCATCATGGATATTAATTGACCCACATGTTGATCGTCATTTATGTCCTCACGACCACTTTGAATACTTTGAAACCACTCGTTCATTCTGGTACGGGATAGGCAATCATCGCCATAAACTTGTATCATGAATTGAAACGTTTCGGTAAAAGTTTTACCAATTTTAAAACAAAATTTAATGTTGACTCTTTGTTCGAAGCTCATTTTCGCACACACAAACACAAACACACTGACACTTAAAACGCAATAACTTCACTCTATGAAATATCATGAAATGCTCACTGCAATCGATAAAGATAGCATATTCTAACGCATCAGTCGACATATAGATGGCGCCACCAGGAGGCGTTAGATTCAAAAAGTCCTGTTTAAGTTCCTGTTTGGAAAGCACCTTGTTTTATTGTACAATTTTATGTCTCTGGGTTCAATAATCATAAGGCGACGATAACAAAGGTTTATATATCGTTTTATTTTCATTATTTAAGCAATGAGCCCAGTTGATACAATATTAATGTGTCATACACTAAGTCAATGTTCGTTAATTTGTTTAAATGTGCATATATACATACATATGTATATACCATATATCACATTTGTATATAACTACTTACAATTCATTTTAATTCTGTCAACCCTCAGTTCCAACGAATATTGAAATACAAGATCACTTTTACGAATATGCGAGTGGAACACCGACTTAAAACAAGTCATGTTTTTTTAAGCTGTTCCTTTAGTTACTGCAGTTCATTGACTTTATCAAAATACTTTAGAGAGGTTAAAAAATCTCTCCTAGGAAAAAACAATAGTTTTACCAGTCAAATATTTCAAACTTTTTGCTTGAAAGATTGTTTTTGCGGGGAGTTTTTCTCCATTACATGATGAAGATATTATTATAGTTTGAACAAAACCTTGACCGAAAGTCATCGAATTTTAAAGGAAGATTATGGTGAACATGCTCTAGCAGAGCGCACGTGTCAAAAGTGGTTTAAACGATATATAAGTGGTGATTTTGAATTGGAAAACGAAGTCCTTTTGCCAGCTAATTTACCGGAGAAAGCGAATATTCATAACGTCAAAGGTTTTGGTCAGCATTGGGCGGTATCAGAAGGATGTTTTATGAGCTTCCTAAACCGGATGAAGCCAATAATGGACATCACTACCTACAACAATGTGTAATCAATTAGTTCCCTTAAATATTGTATATATGACCTGTTTTGGACTGTGATAAGCAGTTTTTGCTTACTAAGTGTTCTAATAATACCTTACATAATTGATATAATACCCAACTTATGGTATAAGTAAACACTAAATCGCGGTTGGTAAATATATAATGTATGTACGCAATGTGTCATTATTTATAATTTAAACTTTATATGTGGTTTATTTAATTTATGTTCTAAAACCCCCTACACGTGTATTTCAAGGAACGTTGAAAACTGCTTTCATATCCATGAAACAATTGCTTTTTATCGCACTCGCATCTGTAAGTATTTTGCTTTTCTTAATCACGTTTCACATATTTAGTGACACGAGCTTGACTTTTGATACTTCAAAACCGTACTAAATTGTAATTAAATTGCAGTGTTACGGTATACATTTATATAATGCGATTTTTAGCTTCGCGAACTACAAAAACGACACGCGCTGTTGTAGAAAAATAATTGCATTTGCCAAATAAAAGAAGTCGGAGTCCGAAGAATATGACGGCATGGGGTTCCGTCGCTGCCAACCAACCATCAAACACTAGTCTAGTCCTACGTAGGCCAATAATTTATAAAAGGCTCAAAAAGAAAATATCAAATTTAAAAGGCTTAACGTGTTAACATAGCAAAATATATCCGACAGCTTGGTATTGGTCCAAACTCCACTTGTAGCAAAGAATTCTTATATATAACTATCTGAAAGCATTTCAATCAGGTTCTCGATGAGGCAGTTCTAACTGCTTTTCAAATCAGCTTTGTGCCACCCCGTAGCTTTCATAACTCATGAAGTAATTTCCTAATTCATAGTAGTTGAGAACACTGTGTTTGTTTTCGGGTCTCTGAGGGATCTCAGGTTATTAACCTCGCTAAAGGTAACCAAATTGATCAATGGCCTTATTATAGGCATATGACCGCAGAAAAGTTGTGAACTTTGCTACAAGTGAAGAAATGGGACACAGACTTTAACAAAGGGATAATTGTTGATTTCATGAAAGACTTCAAAAAGGGTTGTAAACCTCGCTAAAGGTAAGGAGGTAAAGACGTTGCTAAAGATAAACAAATGGGTCAATGGGCTTAGGGATGGTTGCTGATTTCACTAAAGGTAGAGAAAGGGTTCAATGATATCATCATATGTCAATAGCCGCAGAAAAGATTTTTGACTTCGCTAAAGTTAAACAAAAGTATCAAGAAATGTTGTGAACCTCGCTGAAGGTAAAAGGGAGTCAATAACCTTAGGAAGGGTAGTTGAATATTTAAATATTTTCTTTTTAAGGTAGTAGTCTGGTAACCTGGGTTCAAAAAATCGAAATTTTTTTGCTTAATTTGAAAGTACGATGTCTTGAAAATATACTGTGAAAATTTCAGACAAAAATTCGAAATATTTCGGGAGTTATAACAAGTTTCCTAGAGCACCTCTGGCTGTTCGGGTCGGTCCTTGTCCTAACTATTTTCTGCTACTACAAATTTAATTACAAATTACAATTTTAAACAAATTTTAATTTTAAACTACAACATTGTAGATAAGGTATAAAGTTGGGATGTATATTTTTCTGATATTTATAGTCGTAAATGAAACAAGTGTGTATCTGTGTCTTAAAGATTACTATATTTAATCTGAGACTGGCAATCGGTCTTACTTTATCATTGGATGATTACTTTATCGTTGGACTTACTAGATCTTAGGGGCTTTATACTTTTTATTAAACTTTATATTAAAACCGCAATTTTCGATTTCATAAGTCTTCTTTGAAGAAAGCCAACGAGTAGCGGTTCACGTAAATGCACTCACTTTACTATTTAAGTAACCAAAAACAGTCTCGAATAGTGTTAAGACCAAAACAAAAACAAACATGTGTAGCGCAATATTTTGCATACATAAATTGAAGGTGCAGTTCGTTTCGTTTCTACTAGTCGAATGCTGTAATTTCCTTGAACTTGTTGCTCAACCACTGCACACACACACACACACACACACACATTAGTATACAAATAATTTACAAATAAAAAACACCGACGTACACTTATTTTCGGTAGGCTCGCACCAAAAACTAAATAACGAATGTAAACAAAAGCCGGCAGCCAGAAATGAGCACGAATACTCGATAAATGGGAGAACCGAAGCGTGACGAATTGCGACCGTATAAAATGGATGTTGCAAGCGCGACGGTGAGCAACTGTAATTGAATGACCGCGAAAATGCGCAAACATAACAAATACACAGCATATATTTGGTATATAAGTAAGTATTAGTAGTGTAAACAAGGTGCAAGTGCAGCATGGCGATAGACGTGAGAGGAATACGCAAGGCGATTTGTCTTCTAATTATGGGCAAGACGGCTCCAACACGCCACTTGCCGGCGCCTAGATATCAATTACAAAAGCAGTGACAAAGCAGTTTGATTTGTGAAAAGTTTCAGGGTTTTCTTTTCAATGGCGCCGCTAATTAAATTATAAATACGAGATTTAAAGGACATACAATATGTAAGCATAAATGCGGGTGTTTGTTTTCCTTACAAAATATTAGTACTTGCGAAGTACCAAAATGATGGCCGCAGAATGTGCGGAGATTATGGACAAAAGCACCTGGCTTCGCTTGGAATCTCCAATTGGCGCCACTTAGCGAAACGAAGAAACGACTGGTGCACTGTCGTTCACTCGGCTATAATCACGTAAGCGGTGCCTACGTCAGTAAAGAAGAATCTTACGTTCTTCTATAAGGATATAAAATGTATTTTATACTTTCAATATTTTCGTGGAGCTAATACCTCTCCCACTCAAAATTTCTAACACTTAGTGGAGCTAGGTTCAACCAAAGCCCAGCTCTCGGTACGCGAAAGTGACCATGAGAGTTTGTTTATAAAAATTATAATTCTCATAAAACGCATATAAGCCGGTGGTAGCAAGGATAGACTACACTTCACCAAATGGAAACAATTTTGTTAATATTACTCATACGCATTGTCAAGTCGATCCAAACTCAGTTTGTAATAAATTTAATTTCAGCGTATCATTACGTAGTGGCCTTGTAAAACTTTTTTAGTTTTAAGATATTAGTGGTTCCCAACGACGTTACTAAAAGACCTAGGAAGCGTATTGTTCCGACTTTTGCAAATTAAGCAGATTGGAGATAGAGTTTAATATGTTACTATATCCAGATCCAAATTACGATGGAGTTACCACCGATTCGCAAGAGAATTAGAGCTTTTCATCTATAATGGCTGGTTATTTTACCCTCAGAACTCCAGTCTAGAGGAGTGGGTTTATAGAAGTATTGGGAAGTGTTTGAAAAATGTCAAACGGTATCCTGACACTGTACGGAATTAATCCTTACTTTATCCCGCAAAAGTCTATTCTTTCTCCAAAATAACCCTATTTAGCTGGGTAAGCATTGTCAGATTTTATGTTAGGAGTTGGATAAAGTTACTTTTGCAGTGAAAAATCTTCACTTCACAGTTCATGAAAATAAAAAGGTTAGTTTAGCGAAATTGGACACCTATAATTTCGCTAAACTAACCTTTTTTCAGTGGTCTCATTAGGGATGATTAACACTCAGAAAAAAACAGACACTGCCATTCAATTATACTATATGTTTTTCAATTTCTTCCGTTGTCTATGTTAATAACCTTTTATCTTCACAACTAATATTTCGAATTATTTCGAAATCAACCGTAAAATTTTTATTATTCGTTATTAACTTATTGACAATTCACTTATTTAATCACATTCAAAAGTTATTCTACTTCCACAATAAGAACATAAGTGATCTATGTGAATTACGTCCATATATCGCCATGATAAGAAATTTTCATGAAACCTTTATTTTCATTCATCACATTATATCCGATAATTCGAAGCAATTAAAACGTCACGATCGAAAAAACATAATTCGGTTATCTTTTGTTGCAAAACAAAAACATTATACGACACGCGCCTCGCAATTGATTGTTGCTGCCACATCGAGTCGCCTAAGGAAACTACTGAAATACTAAAATTTTGCCAGCATTGATGAACATACCATAAACGAATTTCTATGTATAATATGTATGTGTGCTTGTATGTAGGCATTGGTCATGCATATGCACATAATAATCTTAGGTTGTTCGAAATAACAACGGTTGCGGGCCCGAGTTACATGTGCAACATGTGGTTTGTGTCTGATCTAGATAAAGTGAAGGTGTACACCCCACCACATAAGTATAGTTAATCAAAAATTATGATACAAATTAAAAGGAAGGAAAGAGGTCGAAACTCTATAAAATATGTATAAGTATAAGTGATTAAAATGACGAGTCGAGTCGATTTAGTCATATCCATTTTTCTAGCCATCTCTACACATACGGACTAGACCTTAAATTTTTGAAGTATCCATCTGAAAATTTTCGGATCCCAGTACATATAGTTGACTTTGATGTAAAATATTGGTCAATGTTGAGATATATAAATGAAAATCAGGGATAATCCTTCCCGGAAAATGGTATCTCTGTATGTTGAATCGAGCCAATACTTCCTTAGACCCCATATAACTACTATAAAAAATTTCGAACTTTGTACCGCACTTATCGGACAATATATGAGTTATGCCAATAAAAAAAAGGAGAGCGTATTTTACTGTATATTTGTGCCTAAAATAAATGAATTTGAGCGAAAACTTTACCTACACTAGGGTGTAACTAATATCAGGATTTTCGACATACAGCTGACTATTTGATTGGTTTTTAGTATGTGGCATCTTAAAAGTACTATATGTGGTAGTGGGAAAAATATATAAAATTGGGTCGATACTATACCAAATGGTTGAAGTTTTGCACCTTAAAGTATTTCGCTTTCTTTGAATCTTGCAAGTTGTATGAGTATAAGCCCTTCCATACCTTGTGTATAAATCAGGAAGTGGATTTACTAAGTCTTTTTTACCATATATAAATGTGCATATAGTACATACATACATACATCACTCTTTAATATCATCAGTTAAAAAGCGAACCCATAACCTTCGTACTAACAGCCGCCTTGCAACAAACAAGAGCACTCCAAACCAGGGCCAGTGCCGCTTTTATTTGGCGACTAATGCGCAGAGAGCATTGCGACCACTGCCTTTCCTCCAAATGATATCATTTTTACGATGAATGCGAATAACGTTGTTGTTGTTGCTATTTTACGCTATCTATGTGTGCATTTGACGATTTTTGTTGTAGGTGTAATATGGTTTTTTTCTGCCGTTGGTTTTTGTTTTTGTGCATTTTCTATGGCAATTTCTTGGTGTGGACTCTTGCAATTTTTGTTGTTGCTTATTACACTCACGAAGTCAATTGAATGGCGTTCGCTGACTGTGGCCCACACACTAATGCACTCATCTAACCATACAAATGGCACAATCAAAGCATTAGAGTGTTTATTGTGCATGCGTACTTACAAATCTCTACATACATATATATGTATGTACGTATAAATATTTATAAACAAATATGTATATCTACTCATATAAATATGTACATATGTATGGAATGTTGCAAATATGTATAAATTTTTTTAAAATACATATACACGTATACATAAGTAGATATGTATTCGTTTGTATGTTTACTGTAATTACATTAGAAAGCAAAGTGAGCATACAATTATTATCAGCAAACAAACAGCAACAAAAGTTCTTTATTTACTCTGCTGCGTAAGAATTGCAATAATGAAATTGGCGTTAGAGTATTGTTGGTGGGGGCAATTGACACAGGGCAAAGCTATCATAATTTCATGTCAAAGGATATCGTCATGTGAAGCACACCAGTTGCTTCCAAGAAAATTAAAAAAATGGAATGGTAAGGAAGGGCTAAGTTCGAGTGTCACCGAACATTTTATACTCTCGCATCAAATACCGTATTTGTGTAAAGTTTTATTCTGCTATCATCATTGGTTCCTAATGTATATATTATACAGAGAAGGCATCAGATGGAATTCAAAATAGCGTTATATTGGAAGAAGGCGTGGTTGTGAACCGATTTCACCTATATTTCGTACATGTCATCAGGGTATTAAGAAACTATTATATACCGAATTTCATTGAAATCGGTAGAGTAGTTCCTGAGATATGGTTTTTGGTACATAAGAGGGCGACGCCACGCCCATTTTCAATTTTTAAAGAAAGCCTGRRTGCAGCTTCTTTCTGATATTTCTTCCGTAAAATTTAGTGTTTCTGACGTTTTTTGTTAGTCGGTTAACGCACTTTTAGTGATTTTCAACATAACCTTTGTATGGGAGGTTGGCGTGGTTACTATCTGATTTCTTCCATTTTTGAACTGTATATGGAAATGCCTAAATGAAACAACTCTGTAGAGTTTGGTTGACATAGCTATAGTAGTTTCCGAGATATGTACAAAAAA